AACGTCTGCTGCCACCGTGTTGCCAGACCAAGAAATGAAATGACAAACGTTGCCGCGCTCCCCCAGGGAGGATTTAAACAAACAGCTTAAAGACCACATTGACCTCATTGTGTCCTTCGTGAATCACAGATCTGTTTGTAAGTGTGACTGATGCAACCAATCACCGATTGGAGACAAAGACATAAGACATGTAATTGCTAGAAGATAAAATATCAGCCCCCACTGTGGTACAGAAAATAAAATATATATAAAACAAAAAAAGGGGACAAAGATCAGAATGAGGGAAAAATTAAAATACCTATTGCTTGTTAATATTGCAGTTTGTAGAGAGATGATTAAATGTGGCAAGGAACAGCAGCTTGTAGCAGTGAACATCCAGTAACATGACAACAGAGATGGATTAGTGTAACCTGAGCCACTCTCACCAAAAAGCAACATTTTAATTCCAGTCTTAAAGGCATCCAGGGTGTCTGTCTGCATCAAGGACTCAAACTGGGAGCCTGATGACTAAAGGATCTGCCTCCCATTCTACCTTTAGAGCATCTATTAGGCACATCTGGAACAATCAGTTCTCCAATTTCTTTAAATATGAGGAGAATTTTCAATTCCACGTTGAATTGAACTGGAAATCAATGAAGGGAAGCTAAACGATCAAAAACGATCTATTCTTTTAATTCTCATCAGGATTCCTGCTGAAGCTGCAGGCTTTTTACCCTCAAAAAAGTTTTACCTCCTGACAGTGAAGAATTAGTAAAGAATCCAGTCTTGGCATCAAAAATTCAGACTAGTGTTTCAGGATCACTTTGAGATAGAGAGAGGATATTTCTAAATGTTTCCTCAGTGATGTTGCTGAGGTTAAAGAAGGAAATTCTAACAAACTGTTTTAATAAAAGATGAATGACATGTCCTTGTGAAAGACAGAAAGCTTCTTTACTTTATTTATGCTTTTTCTCATTTTCTACATTGTCTCATTCCTAAAATAATGGGCTTAGCCATTTTTTTGCCAATAGTGATTTTGGAAACACAGATTTTTTTTTTAACCCTCCACCCCTTTTTTTTGGTCCAAATAGGATTCAGGCAACAAAGAAGGCACAAAAAAATGACTTGGGCCATTTTTTATTTGAAGAAGATTGTGACATTTTTGTGTCGGGTCCAAGCTGTGAATTATTTTGACAACAGCCAAGCAGTTTCCTGAAGAGCTCGAGGGCAGCTTAAGTTTATGGTTAATAAAATAATTGAAACAAAGTGCGTCGCTTGTTCTCCCAACACTTCTGAGGTCAGCGTTAGAGCAAAACAGAAATGTTGCATGTTTTCCAGGCGCTGATTAGCAGAGGCGATTGGAATGCATGCTCAAGGCCCCGTTACCGGAGCGAGGCCGAAAAACAATCTATTTTTCTGCTAAACTGTTTCAGTTTCCATTTGAGAGGAGACTGAATTCCATAACATAGATAAAACTGTTTCCAACTGAAGGTTACTGGCATCCGGAGAGGGAGTTTGTTCGTTTTAACAGAGTAAAAGTTACGGCTGATCTTCATCTGCTTTCACACTAACAGATGAAGATCTCACTGAGCATTCATCAAAATGTGTCGAAATAAACAGTACTTTGTAAATATTGCATTTTACAATTTGACAATCTAGTGATCGGCATCAGCATTTTTCTGTGAAGTAAAAGATTACTTGATCTTCACCTCATGTCAAGTCGAAGGCCTTTTGCCCAAGTGCTGGCCGGAGAGCGATATGTTTGCCAAATCTCTGATTTCTCAATGATTCTCACGTAAAAGATGACCAGCGACTTGTTCTGCTGCTTCAAGTCGTGCAATGTGGCTTCTCCCATTTCATAGTGACAAGTTGCTTCCCTATCGCTTTCACACTTCTTCAAATACTGAATCAATATTTAAATAATAGGTACAGTATGTGTGGGGATTTAGATGATGAGCATTTAGTGAACCCTTCTGTTAACTAGAAAGCCCAATGAGAATGTGACAAAGAAGATAGGATGCAAGTTGATCTGTGGTGATAACTTCCAGAATATTATTTTACTTGAAGTATTCATGAGTGGTTCTGGGCCAGGTCAGTGCATGACGTAGAACACAGTCTTTTGAGTATCTGTAGTGGTCATCAGAACACATCCAGTCACAACGACAACAACTCAGGAGGTAGAAGTTCACCCTGCAACTGGTGGGTTGCTGATTCCAACCCGCGCTCCGTCCGCCCATCTCAGCTGCTGTGTACTTGGGCGAGAGGCTGCAACCGCCCTGCCTGCTGGCGGCGGTGAGAGGACCGGGTCTAACCCTACCCGGGTCTCACCCTACCCGGGTCTCACCCTACCCGGGTCTCACCCTACCCGGGTCTCACCCTACCCGGGTCTCACCCTACCCGGGTCTCACCCTACCCGGGTCTCACCCTACCCGGGTCAGGGCAGTAGCTGTTTGTTGAATAAAATAAAATTTTGCAATTGGGATTTTTAAGAAATTCAATTAAAATCACATGTGAATAAATATGTTCACACTGCAAGTCATTAAAAATTGTGACAGCAACGGATGTAAACATGGTTTTAGATGAGCCAGAGCTCATCATCTATCAGAGGAGACGTCGGCGTCAAATTCTGGTGTTTGGAGCGGCTACTTATGCAGCGTTTCTGGGAAATTGTAGTTTATGATTTAACAAATTAGCTTTGATTCCAGCCCTTAAGAACGACACACAACGTTTTATGAACTGCGATGCTGTGAGAGCTCTGGTGGAGCCAGCTGAACGCTGTCTGAAAAAAATAAACACAAACCGTCATCCTCCTACCACTTCCTGTCGTCTTCTTCATCTTTTCCACCAGCAGTAACATCCGGCTGTTGATTATGCGACTCGTGTGATGAGAAGAAAGTATTTTCATTGTCGTTTTGCAAATTACGTCTATTTCAATACGAGCTCATTCCAGAGGAAAAAAAAAACATTTTTTAGTAAAAAAACTTGAGATTCCAATAAACAAAATTTTTCAGACGCAGCTGTGAAGGACAAGAATCACACAGTGATTCCTGTTGGTAGTGTGATGCTCTGAGCCTATTTTGCAGCTTAAGGAAGACTGGCTGTGATCAATGGAACCATAAAAACTGGTACTGATCAAAACATCCTGAAGGAGAACAGCTGGTCATCTTTCGGTGCCCTCCAGATGAAACCAACTCGGGTCATGCAGCAGGGCAAAGGTCCAAAACACACCAGCAAGTCTACCTCTGAATGACTTAAGAGCCACAAAATAAAGTCTTGGGAGCGGCCCAGATAAAGTCCAGACCTAAATCCTATTGAGATACTGCGACCTTAAACTCTCCAACAATAAATCTACAAAGACGAGTGGCCAAAACCTCACTACAAGTTATCACAAACATCTTTTTCACGCATGTGGGTTTTGACGTTTTCCTCCCTCAATAGAAAAAACACTTCCATTGAAAAACTGCTCTTTGTGTTTACTTGTGTTGTCTCTTAAAATGGTTTGATGTTCTGAAACACTGGAGTGTGACAAACATTTTTCACACTTGTGTATTTCTCTTCTCGGCGTTTTAACTGTTCAGCCAGACTGTTCAGCCAGAGATTTAAAGAGGAACAGCAAAAGCAAACGAGATGGATCAGTAGTGCTTGCTGTCCTGGGTATTATGTCCTGGGCGGATGCTGTCACCCAGGACATAATACTGTGAAATATTGCCTTTGCTTATTGGACTGACTAAAGGCACTAGGGTTTATCACTGGATATAAACAGCTGTAGTTAAATGGCCATCTCATTCCACATACAGTTTCTCAGTGGTACATTTTTATTTCTAAATCCATTCTTGGCTTGTTGCCCTCATATTTCTCTTCCTGTGTGTCACCCGAATCCAGGATGTCATCACTCAGTTCGTACAGATTTAGGGACAGCAACCTCCTCTTACTCTGCACCATCACAGTGGAATCAGAACTGAACTCTAATATAATTCCTTAGGGTGAATTTAACCTGAGTCAAAAATGTGGAGAAAATGGCAGCAGGGTTGTTGATCTATTCTTTTATGAAATCTTGATATTTCATATTTATTATCTTAAATATTCTGAGACTGTACTTTAAAAATGTAGCAAGTAGCTTATACATTTTTACATGAATGTGAAACTGTCACCGTGTTGTGACAAGAAATTAGACAGATAATCTGTGAAAACAAAAATTAAGCTAACAATTAATAACCAATCAGAGCCAAGAGGAGGGTGTTGGTGCTGTCAATCACCCTCTGAGTGACACTTCTTCCCCTCCCCCTTTACTCTCTGCTACTTTGTCGCCAGCAGAGCCCGCTGTGAATGCTAAAGCTAGTTAGCATGACCACCGATAAACAGTTTTTTCTGTAACAATGAGTTGTTTCTCTGCCAATGGCACATCAAACAGCACATTTATGAGATTGATTGACGGCGACAAGCCCCTCCTCCTGGCTCTGATTGGTTGTTTCTGACAGCGAACGCTGCATTTCTTCAGAGGACAACAGCAGCTCAGGGAGGAGGTAGAGATCGATCATTTCACAGATTATCTGTCTCATACTGTCAGACATGGTGACAATTTTCACAAATATGTCAGACAATTTAAAAAAAAAAAAAAAAAGTTACATAATTGCAGCTTTTATGGTTTTCTGTAATGTTGGAACATGTGAATGGGGTCACGTTAGTCCAGACACGAGAAAAAAAAAATTTCATTCTCATCAGTTGAAAAAAATCTGTTAAACATGAAGTGGCACAAGTTTTATTTTGATTATATGTGGCTGGCATGATGCAGCCGTTAAACATTATTCTTCTCTGCTTCTTTATTCTCCAAAACAATTGCAGAAAATTCCACAATTTTTATGAGCGATATATTATTTTTAGACGCATTCAGTCATCAGTGCAGAGGAAGACAAGAAAGCACAAATCAGAGGAGATGAGCTGTGTGACTCCTCCACCGCAGCTACAATAGATAATCAGTTCATCATGCTGTGATTGGCTGAAGGCTACAATAAATACTAACTCACCGCAGCGTACATGCAGAGCAGGCAGTTTCTGAGGAGTTGGGCTGCTTTTGCTTTGACTGAAGAGGCATGAAAATGACTTGTGGACTTGGTTTTGGGTGAGTGAACTATTTTTTTCTGCGACAGACTGGCGACATGTCCAGGATGTATCCCGGCTCTTGCCCAAAACGTTCACTGGAGATCGGCACCAGCACCCCTCCTGACCCCACTGGGGACAAGGGTGTTAGAAAATGAATGGATGGAACAATTTTATTTTTTTCTTTTAATCAAAGTTTACAGATAAAAGTTTTCTTTTTCATATTAATTTCTTCAATGTTTTTTCCCTGAACAGGATCTTGCTGATTTGCTTCGTTCAAGCAGAACTTGCGGGGTGTTATTGGATTCAGGAAGGTAAGAATCGCAAATCAGTCACACTTTGCCCTGACTCTCTCCATCTCTCTGAATGAAATTTGACTCTCTGTTCTGCAGCACATAGACCCCAGAACAGCAACACAAACTCTGGCTTTCCTCCACCAGATGGCATACTGAGAAAATCCACCAACAATTTCCCCAACCTACCCAAACCAGACTTCTTCCCTCCTCCCTCAGTCCAGGTCCAGACCAATAGTTACAACACTAAGCCTGCAGTGAAAAGTGATTACGATAGGAAGCCCTCCACCGGAGGCCCAACGCAGACCCACTCTCAACCGGTTCAAAGGTCAAGGAGGCTGGTGAAGAACATTGTTCGGTCAAAACCCAAGAGCCAGAGCACTTTGGGTTCTCAGCAGAGTCCAAGGGTAAGCCAAAGGGAAGGCTACTCCTCCAGGCCAGCTTCCTACAGGGACCCTTCCTTTCATGGGCAAAAGGTCTCATCTGCCACCTTGTTCAGTCCGGTTGGTCCTGGTCCACGTAGTTCTATTCGGATGCAGACATTTGCTCGGGGCCGTGCAAGAAAAGTCCCATCAGGCCTTGCATCTCAGGGTGCCAACATCAAGAGTGTCTTGCCTCACGCTGCAGCTGGGAGGTCTTATCCCAGCCCACAGTTCGCTCTAAAGACTGGAGGCTACAGGCCAAGGAGTCGCCTCAGTGGCCTGGCTGGTCCCACAAGTGGCAGAGAGGGAGAGTCTGCTCTGGGGTTTGCTCCAGTGATGGTGTATAACCTTCCAGAAGCCTTCGGCGGCTCAGCCATCAGACGGCTGAAGAGACCTATGGAGCAGGAGACGGTACCTGACCAGAAGCCAGAGTTTCTGGACAGGTACACACCTCCACAGAGGGTACCACTTTACAAACCTGAACGAACAAACAGGCATTCAGGATATGACTGGAGCAGGATGAAGCAGAACAAAGAGCCAGTCTGGTCCCCATATTGGATCACCACACCATGACCTCAGAGGGCAACGGCATCCAATCCTGACCTCCCCAGTGTTCATTCAGCCTCCATTCAGGTCAAGCTCCCCTATAGACCCGAAATCTAGTGTCTTTAATTTCAAAAATACTGTACTGAAATAAAACAACAGTTTTTTTTAAGCTTGTGTGTGTGTGTCTTTAATTCCAGTTCAATCTTTTGTTGTATATATTCCTTTATTTACACCAGGAACAATCTCTTAGGTTTAAACTTACATTTTTAAAATCTAAATAAGATGCTAAAAAAAACTATTTAAGTAGACATCATCCATGACCAAATGTATGTAAAATTCTGAAAGTTAGAAAAAAAGAAATCATGCAAAAAATTTTCCAGAACATGTAAATACGTAGCTTCGTGTCGACGTTGGATGAATCGTCTTTTCAGTTCGGCTGAAAAGACGACCCCTGACTCTGCCGGACTTGTCTTCCTCTACTCAGCTCTGAGAGATTGCAAACGTCAACACAGTGGGGTGTATTTAGGGGACAGTCACATTATCATGGCCACATGGAATCCAGTATTCTTTCATATCTCGTTGTTTCAGCTTCACAGGGACAAAACTCGAGAATTATCCACTCAAGGTCATGAACACAAAGTCTTTGTTCGGTTCAGTAAGTTAAAATTAACAATAAGAGACAATTTTTTTAATGCATTTGAAACGGACAAAAAACAAATGAATAAAGAAATTAAATATTGATATATTAAAACTTAACAATAAAGTACTTTGTAAAATTTTAATTAAATTTTTTTTTTCTTTTGGATAGGAATGTGTATATCAGACCCAGAATATTAAAAGGATTTTGCAGGTTTGCCTCATTAAAGGAAGAGGTTTATGTTGCAATTTTTTGTTTTAAAAAGGTGTTGTCTTTAAAAAAAAATAAAACATTCTGTTGAATCTGAGCAATAAAACAAGATTTATGTCACTTTTATGGAAAAGTATGTAGACAAGTTGAATAAATTTCACTAACAGCAGATCTGGAGGAATGAAAGTCAGAGAGACGTCATACATCTATCACCATAACTTTGTGTTACAGTCAACATTTATATTGAGGTTTTAATTTGCTTCCTCCCAGTGTGACTCAGCCTGAAGTTGACAGCTGTGAAACTGGTTTGATACAAATAAAGCAGGCGAAAATATGACCAAAAACACTTCCATCTACACGAGAAAACCATAAACAAACAAACAAACAAAAAACATCGATGCATCTCTAAAGCAGACATGACGCAGCGGTTCTGACTGAAAACTATCCATTCATTTTCCAACAGAACTCATCTCGTTTCCGGTCGTTCTCCGCGAACTGCTGCGTTTCGTGTTCTAACCAGACGAGGGCGCCACAACGTCAGACACAGAATAAGAGCCAGCTGGTATGAAAGGTGACGTCTGGAAGTTCCCCAGAAATTCAGCAAGTTTTGCTTTTTTTTTTTGCGCATATATAATCAGCCTGTTGGAAGCGTGTGCGGATGAGTGGGACTGAGCTGTGAGGGATTTGTTCAGTACTCTCTTGATGGGATTAGAACAGCTTGACAATCTCTTTACAGAGCCGGGGAAAGCTCTGGCAGCGCGTGTTTACCGCTCACTGCCACGATTGTTTGTCATGGCTCAATACAGAATCCATGACAGATGTCCTTAGCGCTCTCTATTCTTCAAGTGACAGGTTTGAGGGAAGTTTCAAAGCATGGACGGGTTGGCAGCCGTTTCCATTGCATCGCGTTGTTTCAGTTGCGGTCTGGTCCTTCCAGCGGTCACTGCTGACCCTGTGCAACTGCGTCCCTTATGAGGCGCCATGATGGACGTTGGAAGTGAGGGACGGGAGTCCCGAATAGAGCGACTTGAACCGTTTTCCCAAGTTGTTTTTGCCGGTTTCTTCGAGCTAACGTAGCTGAACGTCACACAGCTGGTTAGGGTTTACAGAACCTTGGAAAGGCTAGCTTAGAAACCGACCCGTAGCTCCTCCCACTGACGTGTCCAATCAAATGACATTTACGTCACTACGTCATGAACGTTAATCTTCTTACGTGGTAAAAAGTGCAAATCCGCGGTTACACCGAGGGCTGCCAGCCGCTATGACTGCCGGCTGCTAGCTAACTAAAGCTGCCTTAACCTCCCTCATTAAAAGTTATACAATAAAACGAAAAGTTTGGTTTGTGTCCTTGTCTGTTTGTGCCACCGACCGCGCAGCACCCTATGACCATTTTTAATGCTAAATGAAAGCAACATCAGGCTGCCAGACGTGCGGGGTTTTTTTTGGACAGGCTTTACGGGTTGTTTTGACGTCAGTCACGGAGGAGCGGGCCGAGTTTCAAAGAGAGTGACGTCACGTGCAAAGGGCCAATAGGATGAGTCGCAAACCGCGGTAGCTCTTCAAGCCTCTTGATCCTTGCTACAGCTACAAAATGTTATTGTGTTGTGCTGGGGATTCACGAGATTGATCAAAATTGATTGGAAAAGTACCCAAGAGGCTCAAGGGAACTCTGGAGGCGCTGCAGGGGCCTCCTGCTCAGGTGGATCTGTTGACAGGACGGCTGTCAAAAGAAATCTATGTAAATTGACGTAAGCCCTTGTATCTTAGTTTTGTCTTATTTCAAGTGTACGAGGATATTAGAAGCTAAACCAAAAACACTTGCTAAGATTTTAACTTTTAACTCTGAAAATATTTAAAACCATTTATCATAGTCCTTCCGGTTCCCAGTTATGTGCTATTTTGTGTCTTTCGCTCACATAAAAACCCAACAGAATTTCCTGAGGTTTCTGGTGTCCAGTTATTTCCGTCTCACTGACACACTTCACAGAGTCTCGCTCTTTCAGACAAAATCCTGGCAACTAAAACAAGGACTTCACTTAGTGGTTTTCTTTTTTTCCTGAGGGCTTCTTGATCTCAGTGAGACTTCCTAAATGAACAGAACTTCAGTGGAGCCACATGAAGAAGACGCAGGTGCCTTTGAACACCGAGCTGGTGCTACATTTAGCTCATGCTGACCGTTTTTGCTCTAATAGATGCTGTTTTGTTCCTTTCCTTTCCTTGAGGACCACAATGGAAATAAATATTTGCAAAATTTTTAATGCCATTTGTTGGTGCGTTGTTTCCTCTAGCAGTGCATGTTCTAAGTGAAACCTCCTGTCATATTTCCAATGGGTTATTTTACAGGCGTCATCTGTCAAGACTTCAAGTAGGAACAATTTTTCCACAGTTGTATCAGTGTGTGTGTCTGTGTGTGTGCGGGGGGTGAGGGGTGGGGGGAAATCCTATGTATGACAGGATCAGCAGTGTTTGATCCAGGTACAAAGACAGCGGTGCATCGTTGTGTTGGCATGTCAATCATGTCATGCGCAGCAAACTCCACTGAGTGGTGTGCTGCAGTGGTTTGATTTCTGAAATGTAAGCAAAAAGAAAAAAAAAACAAAAACAAAAATACATCAGTGCCTGAGATGCACAAGCAGCACGAAGAATGTAGTTTGTTCAGCTTCTCCAACCAAAGATTGTGATGTAGAAAACGCTTCATAGTTCATGAATGAGTTTCCAAAGTTTTTTAAGTGATTTGAGCTGCTAGCATGTCATCAGTCCTCTTTGGTCAGAGGCCTCTTCTGACTTGTTTCAAGACTTCCTGACCCACAGCATCACCTTCCATGACAACTTGGAAAATATTTGAATGATTCGAGTTATGGCAACATTTAATTTCTTTTTTGGATAAAGTTTTTTCTTTTTTAAATTCAACCTTATGAAGACCAAATTTTCAGAGTTCACAACTAGTACGTGTCCTGTGGAGCTGTCAACATCTGCAGCTCCTCAATAGTTGTCTTGGGTGCGTCTCGTAACACATTTCTGTCCAAACCCTGGGAAGACTGAGTTGCCTCTGGTTGTTCACAAGCCACACAGAGGTTTCAAAAATCAAGCCAGAACCAGAGGAAGCGCGGACATCAACATATGTAGAAAACTCTTGAAAGGTTAAACAGACATGTGATGTAAAAACCTCTCATTTTTGTTGTATTTCAAGTGTAACTGATGCTAAAGTAACTCCTCTTGGCAGAAGCCCAGTAAGAGTCATCTAGTGGCGTTGACGTGCATCAAACACACACAACCCACAGGAGGACCCCGAGTGTTATTACTCTAAATTTCATGCAAAGACCGTCTGTAATCATTACAGTATAGTTTACCTCAACACAAAATGGGCCTGCCTCCTCTGGTGAGTCATGGACATTAACGGTGGGTTGACTTCAATCTGCATCACCACAGGGGGCTTTCAGAGACACAGCGAAGTGTCTCTGTTTACAACTGCTGCATGTAACTTTTATAAATATGTTTTTTTAAATATATCATTTAAAACTGTCACTATATCAGAAGTCAGTTGTAATACGAGTCAGATAATCTGTGAAAAACTTGAGTTCTGCATCCAACCTGTCTGTGGTTTCTGTCTTTTTAATTGCAGACAACAGGCAATGTTTTGGCGCATTACCGCCACCTGCTGGAATTTGATGCCAAATATCAGCAAATTTGTAAAATAAACAAAAAAGATAATGAAAAAAACAAAAACACTATATTCTCTCCATTAATTTTCTTCTTAAGGTATCCTCACAACAACAAAAACGAGATTCAGAAAACTTTGTCCAAATGATGAGATGCAATTTGTCCTGCCCTCCCGGTGGTCCTACAGTTAGAAATACAGTCAACTGGAGGAAGTGCAACACAAAACAAGGGGCTGGTTTTTACCAGGCTACTATAAACACAAAGTCTGTTAATACCTCTTCAGAGCAAATCAGAAATAAAAGCACAGCAAACATCTTATGAAGATTTAATGTACATTTATTCTTAACACGTGGAACATATAGTATAAAGATTTCATACTGAATAAATGATATTCATTAAGCCAAAAAAGGGGAAAAAAGGAATTTACATCAAGTCTTTAGCTACATCATCTGAGATACAAATATGCAGAATCCGCATCACTGGAAAATAAAAATAAAAATAAACGAAAAGAAAACTGGTTTCTTCATCAAGGTTTAGCTTGTCTTTATGAGGGAGCTCTAATGACACTGCAGACATTTCTTGTTAATAAGCTCTACACTCGCCCCGGAGACAAACTGAAACTTGACGTTTGTTTAGATGTGGCATCGGACAGCAGCTGAACA